AACACTTAAAAAAGAACTTCTATTGATGTATACTCTCGTCTTATTCGGATAAAGTTGAAAATTTAAAAAAAAAATGTTCCTGATTGATTCATTCTAAATCTTTATTTGGTAATTATTTAAATTTTATTCTCACAAATTTTTTGAAGTAATATTTAAAAAAAACAGTTGTTTCTTTACATTTATTTAAAATTTTAGATTAGAATTACTAAAATTTTATTTGTTCGTTGAAAAATCGTCTTATTAGTTTTGAATTCAGAATTTTCTTGCAGAGAAAAAATAGAATTCATAACAGAAAAGGTAAGGTTTTCTTAAAAAGTATATATCTTTTGTTGCTGGATCGTATCAGTTCTCTGGGAATGGATGCAAATTCTATGAGCAATGAACTTATTTCAGTTGAACTTTCAACTACTCAACTATATTCTCCTATTGTTCATGAGCAATGCGAAGAATTAACACAAAATGAATATACTTCAGCACAAACTGTTACTATTTCTAAGGACACAAAGAAGTTCCAAACGATTGATCATTCGGATTTGTATACTTTTTTTTGTTCTAGTATCATATGTATAGAATATTTTTGTTAGAATATATTCGTATCCGTCACGATATCGATCTGCAAAATTTGCAGGTGCAACTGCTTTGTTCACAATTATAGCAATGATTATTGGTATAATGATAGTTTGTTTTACTTCACCAAAATTTACTGGTATGCTGTTTTTTTTATGTTTATGGATACAATAGAATCACATCGAAAGTCTCAAATTTAAAAAACTAAAAAAAAAAACATCTTTGACCATTTCTGATCGAATGAATCGAGAGAAATAATAGTAGACGAAAAAAATTAGAACGCAATAATTTCGCATTACATCCATCAAATATATCGATCAATATTAAGTTGCCTTTATGATAAAACCACTGAGACATACAGAAAATTATTGTTGACCGTCATTAGTATATCATTATTCTTTTCTTCTTTATTCATGTATTTTATTCTTCATGCACAATCTATCACTCAGTAAATTTATTAATAGTGTTACTCAAGATAAGAGCTTTGATATAAGCTTTCCAGCATTCATGAAGACAAAGCATTTTTTGAGTCATTTCTACAAGTAAATCAAATGAAAGAAACAGACAGTTGATCTGTATAATAAATTTGCATATTTAACTCTATTGGAATTTCAATTATCTAAGCAGATTTCTTTTGAAGAATGATAAATCGGAGGTATGTCCAAATAGAATCATATGAGATCTTCTGAACACATATTTTAAGAATTGTTGAGAATCCAGCAAAATTAGTTAAAATTAATCAATCGAGTAGTTATCATATTGCTTTGAATTGCATCGTTTAGTGCAAAAGTGTAAACTCAAACTCACAGCAATGGTCAAAAACCCAATTGAATACAATTATGGTCCTCGATCTGTTGCTGTTGGTGATTTTAATAATGATACTTGGCTAGATATGGTTGTTGCCAATCATCTCGTTAACAATATCGCTATATATCAAGGATATAATAAGGGTATTTTTTCAAAAACAATCGAGTATTCAACTGGTACTAGGTCTACACCATACATGGTCGATGTTGCTGATTTCAATAATGATGATCGATTAGATATTGCGGTTGCAAATTATGGTACTAATAACATCGGTATTTTTCTCGGATTCGGTGATGGATCATTTTCTAATCAAACAATATTTTCAATTGGATCATCACGTCCTATATCGATTACCATAGCTGATTTTAACAACGATAAACTACTAGATATAGCCACCGCCAATTATGGAACCCAAAGTATAAGTATACTATTGGGACATGGCAATGGAAAATTTTCGAACCCAATTATACATTCGACGGGCTATGATTCTTTTCCATTTTTCTTACTAGCTGGAAATTTTAATCACGATAATTATTTAGATCTTGCTATGGTACGAACAATATTCTTTTGTTTGTTGGACATGGTAACGGTACTTTTGGAAGTCAAGTAATATTTGCAACTAGTTTGGGTTCTCATCCATTCTCAATCGCTATTGGTTATTTCAACAACGACACTTTCCCTGACATCGCTGTCGCTAATTATGGAACGAACAAAGTAGGCGTGTTTCTAAGCCATAGCAACGGAACTTTTGCAAAACTAATCACCTATTCCACCAATTCAGTTTCTCCATATTCGATTAGTGTAGGTGACTTCAATCAAGATAATCGACTGGATTTACTTATCACCAATAATGGTACTAAAAACGTAGCCGTGCTTCTTGGTGATAGAAATGGAAAATTTAAAGATCCACTGATGTATTCAACGGGAGCTTCTTCATCTATATCATTCGCTCTGGGAGATTTGAATAAAGATAACCGACTCGATGTTATTGTCGTTAGCAATGATACTGGTGCTATCGATATCCTCTTCGGTTCTTACGAGGGTTTTTCAAATCAAATTACTTATTCAACTGACTCTTTTCCAAGCTCTGTAGCCGTTGGCGATTTCAACAGTGACAATCAATTAGATATTGTTGTCCCCAATATGGATAGTGAAAATATTAATATCTTTCTTGGCTATGGCAATGGCTCTTTCGAAAATTACACTACTTATTCAACTGAATCTCGACCAAGGTCTATAGCTGTGGGTGATTTTAACAATGATAACCGACTGGATATCATTGTTGTCAACGAAAATACCGATGATGTCAGTTTCTTTCTTGGATATGGTAATGGTTCTTTTGCAAAACAAGAAAGGTATTCAGTTGGCTATATGCCAGGTTCTGTAGCTATTGCTGATTTTAACAACGATAATCGACTGGATATCGTTGTTGCCAGTGGAGGCGGCGCTGATGTGTGTGTCCTCCTGGGATATGGTAATGGCTCGTTTGCAGATCAGATCAGGTACAACACTGGTATTTATCCACGATCTGTAGCTGTTGGTGATTTCAACAACGATACACATAGAGATATCGTTGTGGCCAATGCCAATACCAAGACTGCTAGTGTTCTTCTCGGATATGGCAATGGTTCTTTTGCAGATCAAATCACATATTCAGCTGGTTCTGACCCATGGTCTATAGCTGTGGGTGATTTTGATAATGACAAACGATTGGATATCGTTATTGGTAATTCTTTTAGCAATGATATTAGTATCCTTCTTGGATATGGTAATGGCTCGTTTGCAGATCAGATTAGATATTCAACTGGCACACAACCACAGTCTATAGCTGTTGGTGATTTTAACAACGATACTCAATTGGATATCGTTGTGGCTAATAATGGTAACAATAATGTTAGTGTCCTTCTTGGAAATGGTGATGGTTCCTTTGCAGATCAAATTACATATTCAACTGGCTCTGAACCAACCTCTGTAAGTGTTGGCGATTTCAATAATGATGCTCGATTGGATATCGTTGTTGCCAATTATGGTAGTAATAATATAGGGATACTTCTTCAATATAACAGGGGTTTTCTTAAAAACGAAATGACATACGCACCTGGCGGAGGTTCTAAACTACGATATGTGGTTGTTGGTGATATGAACAACGACACTCTACTTGATATAATCGTTGCTAACTATGGTACTAACAACGTAGGCATCTGTTTTGGAAATGGAAATGGCGCTTTCTCCAGACAAATGATGCTGAGTACTGGCTTAAACTCTCATCCGTCTTCTATTGCTATCGGTGACTTTGATGGTGACACTCAATTGGATATAGCTGTTGCCAATTATGGTACTAAGACTGCAGATATTTTGGTTGCACATGGGAACGGAACATTTACAAATCAAATAGGTCCTGGAATTCGTTTAGCTTCTGTTCCGTTTCTTATTGCTTCTGGTGATTTCAATAATGATAATCAGTTGGAAATTGTTGTTGCCTACGATGATAGTAATAATCTGGATATTCTTGTACCATTCAACACTGGATCTTTTACAAATCAAATGGTATATTCAACTGGTTCAAGTCCATGGTCTGTGACTGTTGGCGATTTCAACAACGACAATCGACTAGATATTGTTATCGCTAACTCGGATAGCAACAGTATTAGTGTCCTTCTTGGATTTGGTAATGGTTCTTTTACTAATCAAATCACATATTCAACTGTTGTTTCGCCGCGATCAGTTGCTGTAGCCGATTTCAATAGTGACAATCGATTGGATATTGTTGTCACTAATTCATATGGCTATGATATAGGTATCCTTCTTGGATATGGCAATGGCTCTTTTGCAAATCAAATCACGTTTTCAACTGGTTTTTGGCCACAATCAGTAGCTGTTGCTGATTTCAATAACGACAACCAACAGGATATCGTTGTCACTCATTTCAACATGAATTCTGTCGGTGTCATTGTTGAAGATGGTAATGATGTAAGTGTCCTTCTTGGAAATGGTAATGGTTCTTTTTCAAACCAAACAAAGTATTCAACTGGCCTTCAGGCACAGTTTGTAGCTGTTGATGATTTCAACGATGACAAGCATCTGGATATCGTCGTTACCAATTCTGGAACCGATTATGTGAGCATTCTTCTTGGATATGGTAATGGCTCGTTTACAAATCAAACCAGTTATTTTACCGGCTTTAAACCAGCATCTGTATCTATAGGCGATGTCAATAACGACAGTCGATTGGACATCATCGTTGCTGTCGCCAGTATAGATAATAAATATTTGAGTATCCTTCTTGGATATGGTAATGGCTCTTTCCAAAATCAAACTATATATTCTTTGGACTCTATACCAGTGTTTATAGCTGTTGGTGATTTCAACGGCGACCACCGACTAGATATCATTGTTCTTAATGAGAATAATAATTATGTGAATGTCTTTCTGGGGTATGGTAACGGCTCTTTTTCAAATCAAATGAAGTTGTCAGCAGGCTCTAAACCAATATCTGTAGCTAGCGGCTATTTCAACGACGACACCAAGCTTGATATTGTTGTCGTCAATTCTGCTAGCAATGATGTTAGTGTTTTTCTGGGATACAGTAATATAGGTTTTGTAAAAGAAGCTACATTCATAACTAGCAATGATTCTCGACTGCGTTCACTTGTCATCGGTGATTTTAATAATGATGATCGAATGGATATCGGTGTTACCTATTTGAGTTTACAAAATATTCAAATTTTTCTCGGATACGGTAATTTTTCTTTCGTAAATCAAGCAACATATACAACTAGTCTCTACGCATCCCCATCTTCTATGGCTGTTGGTGATTTCAATAATGATAGCCGATTGGATGTTGTTCTCACATATTATCTTTCTGAGAACATTGGCATTTTGCTCGGATATGGGAATGGATCTTTCACAAATGAAACCACATATTCAACTGATCATGGTTCTTATCCATATTATGTAGCTGTTGCTGATTTCAACAATGATAACATGTTAGATATTATTATTGCTAATCAAGGTTCTAACAATGTAGGCATTTTTCTTGGATACGGCAATGGCGAATTCGCAAGTTTGATTCCATTTTCGATAGGCGATGGATCCGATCCATTCTTCGTGGTTGTTGGTGATTTTAACAATGACAAAAGGTTAGATTGTGCTGTAGCAAACGATGGCACTAACAATTTAAATATTCTTTTACAGACTTGTTAATTTGGTTCTTCTTAACTTTTTTTTAAATTACTGACTTGATTTATGTTGTTATATCAACTACATTTTTTTTCTTTAGATATTTATGTATTTTTTGTACGCGGAAGCTACACTCATAAAAAAAACGAATCATAAGGAAGCCAAATCAAAATAAAAACCTTCAACATCAGATAAACGAACATTTTCGATGCTTTCATGTCATTTACAACTTGAAGAAAGAAGATATCAGAAGGTCCTCTATAGTTTCTATGAAAACGATCAATTTTTTTAATATTTGCGAAGATAGCTTCTAAGTTGAACTTCTTTCATTCAACATATTGTGTCAAACGATGAGTTTATTCTAGGTTTTGCTTGCTTGTACAATTCTAAAGAAATAGAGTATAACGTGCGGGTGTGCATCGATGTTGGTATTAGAAAATCTTAAGAGAGGGTTAACATTCACATTCACACCCTCAATAATCTTCATATTAAAATTATTGCCTGTCAATGAGAAATCTTATCCATAAAAACTGCTGTAGATATCATGGATATGTAAAAAAGGCTTATCTGCCAATTAATTCCATGACCATAATTAATAGAAATGTAAAATTAAAAAGAACGGATTAAAAAGAAATGAAAAATAATGAGCGAATAGCAACAATGCACACTTAAAATAGGGCGCCGTAGAAAAAATAAAAATTTCTGTTCGAAATGTCAAAATTTCATAGATGCTTACTCTGATGATCGATTATCTGCAAAACAACTAAAGTGTATGAGAGATTTTTGGCTCTACGCATTCTTATTTGTTTAATGAAACTAGAAAGCATATGTGAGTTGGGTGTAGTTGCGGATGAGTAGGTGTGAGTATCGATTGAGTACAATTACACCCACACTCACGTTCACATCCTTCATGTTCAGAGGGATGTAACAAGAAAACATATGGATAAATAGTCTCGTGACTTTTACCACATGATAAGAATGATATAGTCGTCGACGACTTCATTATTTGTTGTTCTTTCATAAAGAAGATAAAAAGAAGTAAAAGAGCTCTTTTGTGCCACTTTTTTTGTATATATATCTTATGAAACAATTTGTCTGAACTTTTAATGATGCCACGATTACTTTTTTGCTCAATGAAAGCTCGGAGATGTCGTGTACATCTTCGAAAACAAAAAATAGATAGCTAGAAAATAATAAGAACAGAGATTCAACATCCGAGCAAAACTTAGGCAATACCGGACATAGAAAATCCGTTGTTTTCCCTTTGAAGTCTGATCGGCAGGACAGTCCAATACAGTTTTCAAAGCATCACAAACGACAACGAAAATATCTAGCTTCGAAAACATCAGCCTCAAATTTATCCAATAATCTTCTTATCCATGATAATATACAAGAAATCATTTGCCTACCTTTTAATCAGACCTATCATCTTCTGTCTAGACTTGATGTTATTATTCATCTGATGATGTGACTTCTTTTTCAACAACTAGAAGATTTCAGCGTCATGCAATGAAAGTCTTTGACACTGTTTCTCATTCATCCTTCAGCTCTTATAGTTGAGTCAAAATGGATGGTAAACAAAAAGATTTATAAACAGACAGTCTGTTGGTTTTTAGCAGATAATAAGGCTATGCTATCACTTGATCGACTTGAACATATTCAACAGTTCAGTTGTCAAATATCATCATTCGATACGGTGACAACACCGTGGGCTCTATGAGAATTTCTGAAATACAATGAGAATCGTAGAAGCTGATTGAGCAGTTCAGAAATACATATTGGAATACTTGAAATCTTGGAAATACAGAATCCGTCAATGTCGCTTGTGTTTGAATCGTAACTTCAGTACGTGTGAACCATGCATGGTGGATACAAAAGGGAACAGCTACTTTTATCCAAAACTGTGTGTGGATGTCTTTCATTAACATGTTTTTGTTTAAAAAAAATTGAACAATATAATGCTACATCGTTCCATTTTGCGAAAGTTACCATGAAATAACTTCAAAGAATTTCATCGTTTGGTTTTCCATTTCAATTTATTTAAAGTTTATTATTTATCGTATTTCTGTTATTCTTAGAGGATCTTCACTAATGTGCATAACTGTTTTAGTCGATTGACTAACTCATCGTAATGTACAATGCATATCTTGTCATAGAATACTAATTATGTGATATGATTTCCGAAGAAATATTTATGGGTATCAATTCAATTTTCAACCGAGACTTAGTGCATATTGTAAAGTTTAGTAAATGGTATCTACCATAAAATTTATTTTGTATCGGAGAGAGGTTTTGTCAAACAACTCTGATGTTTGGTGTTCCAATCTCATCTAATTGAGGTCAATATGTAGAGTACAGATTCAGGTCGAAATAAATGTGAGATCATTCATTAAAGTTTACAATATGCATTAAGTCTCGGTTGAACAGCGAACTAACACCTAGGAAGGTTTCCTCATTAGAGAAAAAACTCTTAACAATAAAATTTTTAATTATATTTGGTATGTCAGAAAACTTTTGTCAACAATTGTTACATGTACTTTTCAAAATCCATAAAAGTCGTTGTTAAACAAAAACGAGATCATGCATAAACAAAGATGTCTAGAATGAAAATTAGTGTGTATTCTAGATAATGATTTATATATGCTTCAAAAATTGAAATATATATTTTTTTTGCATATAAATTAAAAATAGGATTTGTGTAATTTAGATTGTTCTTTTGTTATTTTTTTTGTCTGTACAAGCATTGAGATTGAAGTGCAGTTGATAATAATCTATTTTTTTTCTATTCTAATAAAACCTTCACAATTCTACAAGGTTTTTTTCTTATCTGAGACAAAAAAATTGATTTCTATACTTGTCTTCATCTAAGAAAATAATGCTTACATATATATATGTAAAAAAAAACATGATACGACTACGTCATGTTATTTGGTCTTATTAATTTTGAATGTCGAAATTCTTAAAGCAACTTTTAGAAAAATAAAAGTCTCTATATAAAGTAAGCATGTAGATTTATTTTGATAGTTGATTAATAGTCCTATTGCATTTGAGAATATAATAAAGACTGAATCTATATTGAATTAAATAATCTAACGTAAAAAATATTTTAAAATAAATTAAAAAATTATCTTATAATTTCAAATTTGAAACAATATAAATTATATCTGAATTTTTAAAAAGAATTCTTCTTTATTTCATACGCATAAAATTAAGTTCATAATCAAATAACATGTTATATCGAATAGAATTCATTTGTTCAAAGTTTCTCAATCAATATCTTTCAACAAGAATTTTACACAATATATATTAATGCATAATAAAAAAAAAACATTTTTTACTAAATAATTTCAAATAGAAATAATTCTTAATCGTATCAACAAAAATCAATCATTACTGTTTGAAATTTAAAAGGATTTTTTTTCTTTCAAATAAAAATTGTGGTTGCTACTATAACAACATCTATTTAAATGGCGACGAAATATTCATTCGTATGTGAAGAATCAAATTTTGCATCCATGTAAATATTATTTTTATACTTACGAAAAAGATGTTTTTCTTTTTTCTTTCGCTCTCTCTTTCTGAATTCATACAAATAAATCAACATAAGTTATAATAATTTTCCTTGTCGATGTATCATATGTATTAAAGTTCTACTCTCAATAAACATTTTTTTTTCTTTGAGTAATTCTTGTACGAAGTACAATACTTCACCATATATGTTTGTCATTCACTTTTTTTTTCCTTCTTTTTCTTCTTTTACAATGAAACTCAAACAAAACCATCGAAGAAACAGAACGAATCAAGTGTTGTTACTCTCCTATTTCAACTTTTTTCTCCCATCACCTGTTGTTCATTAGAAATGATGCATACACGCGATCGTGAAAGAGAACAATGAACTTTTGTATTCTTTTTTTCTTTTCTTTTTTTTTTTTTCTTTCTTTTTATTCAAGATATATATGTATGTATGGAATCAATGCATAGTATATAATAGTTCAATTTTATCGCCATTATGCCATCATCATTTTCATTTTTACAAAATAGTCAAAGTAATAGCTCAAGTTCATCATTAGAGAACGATTCAAAAAGTGATCAAAGTGAGGAGGAGAACGACAACGATAATCATATCAACGTTGGACATTATAAAACAAGAACAATACAAAACGATAACGATATGTTAGAACGTCCTTCAGATTCTGATGATAGTTGTAGTCAAAGTGACAATACCGATAATGATGATGATGATGATGAAAAAGAAAATGATCATGTTACTTCTTCACATAATTCTCGATCACAGTTTTTAACTCGACAATTAACATTGTATGAAAATGATTGGCCAAAAAAAACTTCAATTGATGAAAATAAATTTAAGAAATTAGTTTATCATCGAGGTGAAGAAACATTATTAGAAACACAACAAGATAATCCATTATTTTTAGATTCTAATCAATATCAATTGGTAAGTGTTTTTTGTCTTTTGTTTGTTAATAAAAGACGAGTAAGGATTAGAACTACTTCAACTATTTTCAAGATGTCTATTAAAAAACAAAAAAATCGATAAAAACTAAATTTAATAATTTAATTTTTTGTATATAAAATATTATTTGATATTCATTATGTTAATCATCAGACTGATATATTTTAAATATCATATAATACAAAATTTTATTAAAACTATATTTTAATTAAAATAATCTTTCTACCGAAATGATAATACTCTAATCATCACTTTTTTTTTTAAATAATATACACGACCGATAACTTAATGCTTCGATTCATACCTTTCTCTCTCTGTCTCTCTCGTTTTTTTTTCTTACCATGTAAACCAATCCGTCTATTATTTCCTTTCTCTCTATATATAGTTTTCACCCGAACGAAGTAAATTAGTTGGTAACATTGATACAAAGAACCAATCGCGCAATATTCATACTTCATCATCATCATCAAGTGATTTTAAAATGAATACACATAAACTTCATTTGAAATCAGAATCAAATCCTATGCAAATAACATCAATATTATCTCAA